GGTTAAAGCTTTTTTAAGTTAATGTCCGACATGTTGATGACGGACGAACGGACAGACGGACGGACTGACGGTCAACGGTATACCATAATACGTCCCGTAAACGGGCGTATAAAAACGCCAAAAAAAATGGTTAAAATTGTCATTATAGGGCAATAACTCTAATAAGGAGTCGACTGAAGATTTTGATCATGTTGACTTATTTGTAGATCTTGTCTTACTGATCAGTTTTGCTTTTTAAAGTTTCTGTCTATCTTTTATAATTTTCAAGATAATAGGCAAAAATTTTAAATAAACTGTTGACACAGAGATATGTCTCGTCTGTCCGCATAAAATTCAGAAAAAGACAATTTGATGGATAGCAACATTGCTTGTTAATTCAAAGTCGCTGGACCATGATCTTGTAGGCAGGGTCTTGAAATGGTCGGCAAACTTAGATGTACTGATTGTAATGCAACTTTATACAAAATATCATTGATCTGTCACAAGTAGTTCTTATCAAACTGACTCATGCAGAAAACTTAACATTGAAAATTGTTTATTAATTCAAAGTCACTGGACCATGTCCTAGGGGCCAGGGCCTCAAACTAGTCGTCAAACAGATATGTACTGATATTATTAGTAGATCCTATCAAACTAACACATGCAGAAAACTTAACATTGAAAATTGCTTATTAATTCAAAGTCACTGGATTATGTCCTAGGGGACAGGGCCTCAAAATAGTCGTCAAACTGATATGTACTGATAGTAATGCAACTTTATATTAAATATCATTGATCTATCACAAGTATTTCCTATCAAACTAATTAAGCAGAAAACTTAACAATTGTTAGTCCGTCCATCCGTCAGTCCCGCTTCAGGTTAAAGTTTTTGGTCAAGTCAACTTAAAGTTTTTGGTCAAGGTAGTTTTTGATGAAGTTGAAGTCCAATCAACTTGAAACTTAGTACATATGTTCCCTATGATATGATCTTTCATATTTTAATGCCAAATTAGTTTTGACCCCAAATTCACAGTCCACTGAACATAGAAAATGATAGTGCCAGTGGGGCATCCGTGTACTATGGACACATTCTTGTTTAAATATGTCTTTAGAAAATAAAAATAAACAAGAGGCTGACAGAGAGACAGCAAACCGTATTTTCCTGCAGAGGTCGAACCCTGAACAGTTGAGCAAGTATGGACACTACATTTAAGCTTAAAACAGCTCTAAATTTAAATTGTGATTGAATATTTGACACAGCATAGGTTTGTGACACAAAATGAATGTGTCAAAGAACTGAAATATTTGAAATTGGACATTTAAATACCTAGTATGGTCCAATATCCAAAATCTAAGTACATATTAGAATCAGCATATCAAAGAACCCCAATCTTAAATTTTTGATGAAATCAGACAAAAGTTTAATTTAGGACCCTTTGGACCTCAATGTGGACCAATTTGATAAAGGAGTCCACAATCCAAAATCTCTCAATACATGGTTAGATTCAGCATTTCAAAGAACCCCATAAATTCAATTTTTGTTGAATCAAACAAAGTTTAATTTTGGACCCTGATTTGGACCAACTTGAAAACTGGGCCCAAGGACCCCAGGGGACTCGCCTTATATTTCATTTGATTTGTTTTATTGTCCCATACAAGAATATATATGGTTTCGGGTGGGGATCCTGACCATTTACAAGTTTTCAAAAAGAAGGGGGTGGGGGTTACCCCAGGGGACTTCCCCTCAATTTCATTTGATTTGTTTTATTGTCCCATTTAAGAATATATATGGTTTAGGGGTGGTGATCTCGACCGTTTACAAGTGATCAAAAAGAAGGGGGATGGGGGTTACCCCCATGGACTTCCCCTTTATTTCATTTGATTTGTGTTATTGTCCCATACAAGAATATATATGGTTTAGGGGTGGGGATCTCGACCGTTTACAAGTTCTCAAACAGGAGGGGGGTGGGGGTGACCCCAGGGGACTCGCCTTATATTTCATTTGATTTGTTTTATTGTCCCATACAAGAATATATATGGTTTCGGGGTGGGGATCTTGACCGTTTACAAGTTTTCAATAAAAAGGGGGGTGGGGTTTACCCCAGGGGACTTCCCCTCAATTTCATTTGATTTGTTTTATTGTTCCATTCAAGAATATAAATGGTTTAGGGGTGGGGATCTCAACCGTTTACAAGTTATCAAAAAGAAGGGGGTGGGGGTTACCCCAGTGGACTTCCCCTCAATTTCATTTGATTTGTTTTATTGTTCCATTCAAGAATACATATGGTTTAGGGTGGAGATCTTGACCGTTTACAAGTACTCAAACAGGATGGGGTGGGGGTGACTCCATGGGACTCACCTAATATTTCATTTGATTTGTTTTATTTTCCCATACAAGAATATTTTTGGTTTCGGGGTGGGGATCTTGACCGTTTACAAGTTTTCCAAAAAAAAAAGGGGGATGGGGTTTACCCCAGGGGACTTCCCCTCAATTTCATTTGATTTGTTTTATTGTCCCATTCAAGAATATACATGGTTTAGGGGTGGGGATCTCGACCGTTTACAAGTTATCAAAAAGAAGGGGGTTGGGGGTTACCCCCATGGACTTCCCCTATGTTTCATTTGATTTGTTTTATTGTCCCATATAAGAATATATATAGTTTAGGGGTGGGGATCTCGACTGTTTACAAGTTCTCAAACAGGATTGGGTGGGGGTGACCCCAGGGGACTCACACTTTATTTCATTTGATTTGTTTTATTGTCCCATACAAGAATATCTATGGTTTCGGGGTGGGGATCTTGACTGTTTACAAGTTTTCAAAAAGAAGGGGGTGGGGGTGACCCCCATGGACTTCCCCTATATTTCATTTGATTTGTGTTATTGTCCCATACAAGAATATATATGGTTTAGGGGTGGGGATCTCGACCATTTACAAGTTTTCAAACAGGATTGGGTGGGGGTGACCCCAGGGGACTCACACTTTATTTCATTTGATTTGTTTTATTGTCCCATACAAGAATATCTATGGTTTCGGGGTGGGGATCTTGACTGTTTACAAGTTTTCAAAAAGAAGGGGGTGGGGGTGACCCCCATGGACTTCCCCTATATTTCATTTGATTTGTGTTATTGTCCCATACAAGAATATATATGGTTTAGGGGTGGGGATCTCGACCATTTACAAGTTTTCAAACAGGAGGGGGGTGGGGTGACCCCAGGGGACTCTCCTTTTATTTCATTAGATTAGATTTATTGTCCCATACAAGAATATATATGGTTTCAGGGTGGGGATCTTGACCGTTTACAAGTTTTTAAAAAGAAGGAGGGTGGGGGTGAACCCCGGGACTCCCCCAATATTTCATTTGATTTGTTTTATTGTCCCATACAAGAATATATATGGTTTAGGGGTGGGGATCTCAGACTGTTTACAAGATAAAAACACATTCTCAAATTGAAGGGGGGTGGGGGTAAGAATATATATGGTTTAAGGAGACTTAATTATCTACAAAATGTCTAATAATGAACAGTCAATTTCAAACTTCATTTATACAGTCCTACTAGTAAATTTCAAACTTTATATATACAGTCCTACAGATCTTATCAGGAAACAGAAAATTTTCAAATAAATCTGTCACTCCAATGATTATCATATTCTAAGAAACAACCCAGATCTAATTAATAATTAATAATGTAATTTAAACTTCAAAATGTCTAATAATATAGCTTATAATCATCACCACTTAGGAAATAGATAATTTTCAAATAAATCTGTCACTCCAATTTTTATTGTGAGATAAGACAAGTCATAATATGATAACAAGAGATAAGTATTTTAAAATTCCACTTTTGGATATTAAAAATGGTGATCTCAAAAAGGAGAAATACTAAAATCTTGAAAATTGAACTAGACCTTCATTAAGTCCCAGGAAAGAACATATTTAAATTTGAAAAAAAATTGTTAAAAGGTTTTCATGTTATTGTGCAGCCGCCCGTCTGCCCGCCCGCCGCACATCACTATTTTAATAACCGATATTTCCTTCGAAAATCCGGTTAAAAATGATTCACCTAACTTATTTTCTTGCTACAAGTAAAAAATTAAAATTTCAGTGATATTCCTTTATAAAATATTACTATAAGAGCAATCTCACTTATATGGCTAAGTTGAAAAATTGAATCAAACAAAAACAAATATTTGGTATTTGTAAAAGCAGTCTTAATAATACAATAAATCACCTGTATTCTTTATCTAAATAAATAGTCTTACGCATAAATTGCCATTCTGTCTCAAAATTTGAAGTTTTAAGCAAAGAACTAGACGGATTGTGTACTGCTATTTTACAATCCAAGATCGTGATATATGTTATTCTTATTGACTGGGTATGAGTGGAATAGTAAGTTTATTGTCTCCCGAGGTGCAACTATTGCCCTGAGGCGTAGCCGAGGGCAATAGTTGTATCCGAGGGGATAATAAACTTACTATTCCACGAATATCCAGTCAGTAAGTGTTTTATTATACCAAAAGAGACACCAGACAATAAATGTCTGGACTAAATCAACTATCGTAATACAAAAAGCAGAAACACAACCATATGGTTTAACGTTTACTTCATATATATTCTGAATGCTAAGGCTACGTCCCGCACTAACGTCAACCCTAGAGACAATAGGTAAAAGGCGACGACACAACTCCTGTTGTATTCTCAACATCCTCCAATCCCGTAGCTGCAGTTGAAATTCCGCGAAATATAATGACACTTGCGGTCAAATAGTTTCATCGAGGGCAAATAGTTGGAAACTATTGACCGGTCAAATAGTTCAACGCTTGCAATTTGCAAAATAGTGAAAATATTGTGTACTTATTTTATATAGAAAATGATAACTGAGGTATAATAAATACATTTAAATTACCTTAAATGTTTACAGATGGACACCGACTTTTACTATGCCACTCTATATGACATACTGAGTTAAGATAGTTGGGCTAATGCTTTTAAACTACCTTTGTAAACCTTTCAAATTTTACCTTTTTCTTTTGGCCTGAGATTAGCTAATGCTATAATATCATGTCCCTCCATAACACACTGCATCATGTTATAACAGCTATCCTTTCCACCACTTATCAAAGCCACAGTCTTCATTTTCTCTATGCCAATCTGTAAAAATCAAAAACCTGGTACATTGTTGATAAACAATCTTAAATATATAAAAAGGAAACAGGAACAGTTTAACATGCCCACAAACCACAAACTTTGCCAATCAAAACTATGTTAACTATTGCATATGCCTTCATAACAGAGTTTTTTGTGCCAGTTCAGGATGATGTAAGCATCAAGGACAAACAAACATCAAGGAGTAATAATGGCAACTACACTCTGGAAACTTTTGATTTATATACAAAAACTTAACACTGAGCAATGAACTGTGAAAATGAGGTCAAGGTCAAATAAAACCTGCCAGACTGACATGTACATCGTAAAATATTTCCACACACCAAATATAGTTGACCTATTGCATATAGTATAAGAAAACAGACCAAAACACAATAAAATGCTATGCTGGGGCGCAGCTTGATACGACCGCAGAGGTCGAACCCTGAACAGTTTGGGCAAGTATGGACACAACGTTCAAGCTTGATACAGCTCTGAATTTGGATTGTGATTAAATATTTGACACAGCATAGGTTTCTGACACAGAATGAATGTGGTCTAAGAACTTAAAAAATTTTAATTTACCTATTCAAACCATATCATTATTATTTGCTTTTATATATAAATCAGAAATAACCAATTTAAAATGGAAAATTTTAAAGAAAAAAAAGGAAAAAAAGGGGAAAAAAAATCCCCCCCAAAAATTTTTTGAACCCCCTTATGATTCATCACCCCAAAACTCGATAACAGCCTTCCCTTTGTGGTATGGTACCTTGCAGTACAATTTCAGAGAGATCCATACACTTGAACACAAGTTATTGTCTGGAAACTAGAAAAATGCTTGTTTTTTGGCCCCTTTTTGGCCCCAAATTCCTAAACATTTAGGGCAATTACCCCCAAACTCAAACCCAGCTTTCCCTTTGAGATATGGAACCTTGCAGTACAATTTCATAAAGATCCATACACTTACACACAAGTTATTGTCCTGAAACTAGAAAAATGCTTGTCTTTTGCCCCTTTTTGGCCCCTAATTCCTAAAATTTTGAGGCAATTACCCCCAAAATCAATCCCAGCCTTCCCTTAGTGGTATGGTACCTTGCAGTACAATTTCTGAGAGATCCATGCACTTGAACACAAGTTATTGTCTGGAAACTAGAAAAATGCTTATTTTTGGCCCCTTTTTCCTAAACGTTTTGGGCAATTACCCCCAAACTCAATTCCAGCTTTCCATTTGTGATATGGAACCTTGTAGTACAATTTCAGAAAGATCAATACACTTACACACAAGTTATTGTTATGAAACTAGAAAAATGCTTGTTTTTTGCCCCTTTTTTGGCCCCTTTTTGGCACCTAATTTCTTAACTGTAAGTACCATAACCCCCAAAATCAATCCCAACCTTCCTTTTGAGGTATTGAACCTTATGGTAAAATTTCATAGAGATCCTTTCACTTAAACTAAAGTTAGAGTGCGAAAACCAATGTGTCTTCAGACGACGACGACGACGACAACGCCAACGTCATACCAATATACGACCGCAAAATTTTTTTGCGGTCGTATAAAAACTTAACTTTAACCAATGAACCATGAAAATGAGATCAAGGTCAGATGACACCTGCCAGTTGGACATGCACACCTTACAATCATTCCATACACCAAATATAGTAGACCTATATTGCTTATATATAGATATAAGAAGATGTGGTATGAGTGCCAATGAGACAACTCTCCAGTCACAATTTATAGTATCTGATATATGGACTTGACCACGTAAACTTAACCTTGTTCACTGATCCATGAAATGAGGTCGAGGTCAGATGAAAACTGTCTGACAGGCATAAGGACCTTGCAAGGTATGCACATACTAAATATAGTTATCCTATTACTCATAAGAGAGAAATTAACATTACAAAAATTTTTAACTTTTTTTCAAGTAGTCACTGAACCATGAAAATTAGGTCAAGGACAATGGACATATGACAGACGGAAACTTCATTACAAAAGGCATCTATATACAAAGTATGAAGCATCCAGGTCTTCCATCTTCTAAAACATAAAGATTTTAAGTAATCCGCTGCCGGATCACTATCCCTATGTCGAGCTTTCTGCGACAGTAGTTGCAAGCTCAACAAAAAAAATCAGTGTTTGGGCCATGAAGGGACCCCAAATATTCAGCTGTCAGCAGTGACAAGACATGACAGCACTTAACATATGGATATCATCAATAAAAGTTTACACAAAGTTGACTCTGGTATTGAATGTGATGATAATGAAGCAGAGTCTGACTCACACTTCATCCTTATAAATGATGACAAAATTTTGTTCAACACTATTAACCATACTTCGAAAAATGAAATGCCAACAAGCAATGTCAAAGGCGAAAGATACCTAGTTGACATTCAAAACTTAATTAAAAAATAAACTGATAATGCCATGGCAAGAAATGCAAGACAACCAAAAGAAAAGTCCACAAATACTACATAAATATCTAAAAACTTAGCCACACTAACCCCTACAAAAACCACAGGTGATGGTATGTGCTCTAATCTAAAAGGTAATCAGTTACTGCCCCACTAGTGACACCAGTTTATATAAGTTGACAGAAAATACAAAACTGGCAGAGCAGTTGAAACTGGGACTAATAGATAAATGCAATGTATAATAATAGTACATGGTTGAAACAAATTAGACACAAATTAAACAAAAAATTGCTTGTCAGTGTATAAACCAAATACAACAGCTATCACATATATACTTGAAAGAAACAAATTTAAGATAACAGTGGATGAACATCTTCAACTGGTTTGATATAATTACATTATAACATGCCTCAATTCAATTTCTTGATGATGAAAAAACCCAATACATTCAGGAGCTTAGTGGTGAAAAACCAAATCTGATAATTGATTGAGGGGTGAATTGGAATTAATAATGCAATTGAAAAAATTATTTCATTCAATAACAAAAAAATGGTGGGTAAAAACCCCAATTTGTGAATTCTTATCTGGAGCTCTGGGCATATGTACACAGACATGAGAAATATAGGGGACTATATTTCAGTGTGTATACATTTTGTAGATTTAGTAGCTAACCTGTGCTACTTCTTGTTTGGGAGGCTGGTGCCTTATGAAAGACTTGAAACAATTGTTCCAATCTTTCAAAAAATCTAAATACAAGGTTAGATTCAGCATATCAAAGAACCCCATATAATCAATTTTTGTTGAAATCAAACAAAGTTTAATATTGGACCCCGATTTTGACAGATTCAGCATGTCCAAGTACACCGAGAATTAAAGTAATTTATTTATTAATAGACAACATGAGCTAAGGTTTAAAAGGGGTTCGCTTCATCAAACTAGAGGCTCTCAAAAGCCTGTGTCGCTCACCTGTATCTACTGTGGTTTTGGAAATCATGTAAAATAAGGTTTAAATCATAATAAATAATATTAGATACCCTAATAATGATTGAGGACAAGTTTGGTTTAATTTGGCCCAGTAGTTAAAAGCAGGTCATCCCACTAGTAACTAGACTTACAATAGTTATTGAAGACCCCTTATCATTATTTAAATTAGTTTTCAATTGTGACCATTTGAAATTGTTTTTTTTACAATTATTCCCTTAGACTTCAATAGTAAATCCCTATGTTCTATTTTTAACCATGGCGGCCATGTTGGTTGGATGGCAGGGTCATCGGATACATTTTTCAATCAAGATACCCTATTGAAAATTGTGGCTAAGTTTAATTCTATTTGGCCCAGTATATTAAGTGGAGAAGATTTGTGTAAAAGTTTGCAAAAATACACGAAAAAAATTGTTAAAAATTGACTATAAAGGGCAATAACTCCTTAAGGGGTCAATTGAAAATTTTTGTCATATTGACTTATTTGTATATCGTACTTTGATGAACATTATTGCTGTTTACAGTATCTATAATAGTACTCAAGATAATAACCAAAAACTGCAAAATTTCCTTAAAATTACCAATTCAGAGGCAGCAACCCAACAACGGATTGTCTGATTCGTTTAAAAATTTCAGGGCAGATAGATCTTAACCTGATGAACATTTTAACCCATAGTCAGATTTGCTCTAAATGCTTTAGTTTCAGAGATATAAGCCAAAAACTGCATTTTACCCCTATGTTCTATTTTTAGCCATGTTGGTTAGCAGGCGGGATCATTGGACATATTTTCTAAACTAGATACCCTAATGATGATTGTGCCCAAGTTTGGTAAAATTTTACCCAGTTGTTTCAGAGGAGAAGATTTTTGTAAAAGTTAACGAAGACGGAAGACCAGGTGAGCTTAAAATATATATATAAAGGCCGGAAGATTCTATATGTTGCCTAAAATACATAAAACGGGCAATCCAGGTCGACCAATTGTTTCAGCAAATAGTCATCCAACTGAAAAGATATCAGAATTTTTAGACCATCATCTAAGACCTCATGTGAAAGAACTACCCTCTTACATCCAAGATACGACGGATTATCTAAAGAAAATGGAAAGCCTCAATCCTCTACCAAGCAATACTATACTTGCATCCATGGACGTGTCTTCTTTATATACCAACATTCCACAAGACGAAGGAATAGCAGCGTGTGAAGAGGTATGGAACACTCGTAGTGAAAAAAATCCTCCAAATGAGTGCCTTGTTACACTTCTGAAACTAGTGCTAGAGAACAACAACTTCTCTTTCAATGAAAAACATTATCTCCAGATAGACGGTACTAGTATGGGCACAAAAATGGCCCCGTCATATGCCAACATATTTATGGGCCAACTTGAAAAACGCCTCTTGGCTAGTGCTCCATACCAGCCCTTATCATGGTTCCGATTCATTGACGATATTGATTTCAAATGGACAGATTCACAAGAACATCTTAATGAATTTCTAGGACACTGTAACTCTTTCCACCATTCAATAAAATTTACATATGAATCATCTATGGAGAAAATAAACTTCCTCGACACTACGAGTTACATCAAGAACGGAACCATTATAACGGA